CCCTGTCGTCGTCTCTTCAGGATGATAGCGTGCTCTGTCGCAAAATATATTCTTTGTAGTTTTATCCCTTCAAGCGTTGTCATTGAGATGTCAATGTTCCGTTTCGTGACCGTTCGCATTCTTCATCTCAATGATGTTGTGGGGGATTGATTCGGGATGTTTCTACAACTCAGCCTCCTTTTGAATGTTTTGTGAAGGTTCATACCTTCGATTCATGATCATAAATCATCAGCTAATATCTTTATTATGCTTTAGACTAGGATTTGAGCATTGATTTGAGTATAGAATCTGCATATATAGATGATATTCAGGGTGGGCTAGTGTTAAGGTGTGTGGCTGCTAGCATGAATAGGGCACATCTTATTCTTGATAGGATGCGGGTCGGTCAGGAGGTATACCCTTCAGACCCCTATCCCCCTTAGAATTGTCCACTCTGTGTACCCCCCTGAGATGAAGTTGGATCCCCACTTCATCTCAGACCTTTGCTGATCGTCTCTCAGCAATAACAAGCAACTTTCCCATCTCAACGTGGTCGTGGACAAGCGTGTCAACGACAGAACCTTCATCTACTATCTCTAGGAGCAAGCCACCGCCCACGGCATCACTCCTTGAAACTACCTTTGAGAGCAAGGCAACAACAAGCACTGCTGTTCCCAGAGATCAAAAACAAGTGAGTCTTCCCCATGGTCTTCAGGGATTGCTACGCGTGAATCCCACAACACGTTGTACCTGAGAGGGTGTGGGGCCTGGTGGTTGGTCATTCGCCCGTCCGTCTGGAGGCTCTAACGGAACGTTTCTGGAAGCTTCGTAAGTTGTAACATCAAGCTTTATCTCGAGTTTTACCGAACGAACTATACCGACGGCGAGTTACTCTACTCTACTGCTGTACGTCGTACACAACATGCAAGAGTACCGTGCAAGCGATCAAGCTGGTTGCATGGGCAGATGTGTACAAGTTCGTACAGTTCAATCGCGTCTCACGCTGCAGTTATTCGATATACTCGCAGCATAGCATGGGGGTGGTATATTGCGTATTCATATGCGGGATTTGCAGTGACGAACTACGGAGGAACAAGAAGTTTCTTTTTGTTTTCCTTTGGAGTGTGGTAGATTGGTGGACATTCATGGAGGTTCGTTTTGGGTGTTTAAGCGTCATGCGTGACTTGATGCCGTGATAGAATGACGAGCTCAAGCACGCCCCCGATGAATCCAACACGTTTTTCAACACGTCTCTACGACTTTACCTACCCCTACGGCCCGTCATGGCCGAGCTGCTCTACACTCCCATCACACACAACTGAGCCACCCGAATCATCGATCACGCTAGCGTATGACACGTCGTCCACGAGATTCGCGTCGAGCTTAGTTTGGAGTATCGCTTTGCGGCGATCAGCAGCTGTCATCGATGTCCAGCGCCGACCAAGAACGAAGCGCCCGTCACGCAGAAGACGAGGACGCCCGCATCAACGAGTTGGTGGAGATGAAGGTACAACGATGACTGGCCGACATGAGGCGGCAACAAGACGAGGAGGAGCAGAGGACAGAGAACGTCCGGACCGGAAGCGAGCACGAGACACGCCACCAGCAACAAGCGGGGCGGCCATCGGCGAACCCGGCCGTAGATGACATCGCCCGCACTCTCGCAGACGCCATGTCCAGCCGAATGCAGATATCACCACGGGACATAGGTAGAGTACCCAGTACATGAGGAAGTATTCGCATGACAGAGGTTAAGCGCCTAGCGCCTTTGGATGGGATTTTCAAGCAAGGGGAAGATGAGCAGGCTAAGTTTTTGATTTTTCGATCGAACATGGTAGCTATGTTTGCGCAGGAAGGAGGGCGTGACGTGGAACTGACTGAAGAAAAGATTCCAGTCGGAAAAGAAGGAGTGAGCATGGAGGAGCTGCCTAGGGTGCATTCGAGTGACAGCGTAGAAAAGACAATTACGTCGTGGAACCTGCTGATCACGTCTGTAACATACATGCCTATCCTCACCCAGATCATCGCTGATGGTAGTCCAAGTGGAGGTTGGAAAATATTCCTCAACTATTACGAGCCGCGTGCCAGAGCCGAGAAAGAAAGGTTGTCATCCCAATACCACGGTCTTGAGATGAAAGTAGGAGAGACCCCCCAAGATTACTTCGGGAGATTTGCTGTTTTGCGCAGTAGGCTAGCCCCGCACGGTGTTATTTTCTCCGACGAAGATGCCAATGCCCACATGGTATACCACCTTTCCGACGAGTACATGATGGAGAAGATTCTGACTATGTCACCGATTCCCCGCTCGCGCGAGAAAATCGAAAAGGGTGTACGAGATGCCCATGCGGAATTGCTTCGCCGTCGGGAGGAGGAACCAAAGAATGGCGCGGGCACGCACGCTTCTGGTGACATCCGGGGCGATGGACGTGTCCAAAATGGGTCGAGTGGAAACGGCGGGGGACAGGACGGAGACGGAGGCGCCCGGAGTCGGAGCAGGAGCAGAGGGAGAGGAAACAAGAAAGCAGGAGAGAGCGGAGCCGACAGCGACCACTGCTACCTACATCCGCACTTGTCCCACACCAACGCCCAGTGCCGCACTCAACGCGACCGTCAGAAGAAACAGNAACAGCAACTTCATGGACCGCCGTAGCAGCAGCCGAGCTACAGTGGGGGGGACTGGGGCGGTGGGCCTCACCACGGACCTCACAGCGGCTACGGAGGACAGCATAAGCACAGGTATACAGCTCCCCCTCGTCCGTCGCCCCGGTGGTCTACATAGTTGGTACCCTCGAAACCTTAAAGAGGTCAGGTCAGAGGTTCGAATCCCGGCGTTAGCGGGGGTTCGAATACCTCCCCTCCCGGTGTTTGCCATCGGGGTTGGGTTTTCGTCGCTTGGCAACGACGTTGTAAAACAAGCCAATTCACTTCGTGAGGTCGGCAACCAGGTCACCGTTTTTTATTCTTTACCTCCGTTTTTTCTTTTTGGCGGTAACCATACTGGTGGTCGAGTAGATCATGTTGTGCGGGGTGGAGAACCCTCACTCCGCGCAAGGGGGATGATCGCACCACGTGGCGTTAAAATGGTCAAGCACCCTCGAGGCAATTACACAGTGCTTACAACTGTCCCTGGAAGTGAAAACACCGTAAAGAAAATTATGTCATACGCAGCTGTCATCCGTACGCAAGGAAGTAAGCACAAGATGCTGAACACCCTTAGCAGGATGCAGCGCACCTTTCATGCGACTCGCCAAATATCTCATGGCGCTTCGCGCCTGGTGATGTGAGAGCCTGGTCCGGTGAGAACCCGGCGTGCTCCGTCCCGGCTTTGTAGGGATG